TATATATATATATACCCGGACGCCGCGCAATCACCGATGCAATCGTTCATTCGGTATGTATCGCGATATGCATAGGATATGCATCGGAAGTTCGAGGATAACCGCAATAAGGTAACCGCATAATCGAGCCGAAATTCGCGAACGAAACTTGAACACCCGTCAAAGTTGAGACTGATCGTCGCTGACGCGACAATGACGCGCTTTATTTGTGATCCCGATTTTTTCTGTTTCACAGATGTAGGCGGAATCATCAATGGATTTGTGAGAAATAAATAAATAAATATAAGAAATAAAAAATAAAACTTTGAAATATGAGGCGATATATCACAACGAACAATACCGGGTGTCTAGCGCCGACTGCGGCAAAGTCGTTTCGACTCGTCTCTCTTTGAAAATCTCTTCTCTTCTCAATTTATTAAACCGTTGATCGCACAAGGTGAAAATAAAATACATAGGGAAGTTTTGAACGCTGTGTGCTTACAAGTCATACATATGTATAATAATATTTATCGCTTGTCGAAACGACCGCTGTCTCTGAGAACCAACATCGTCACAACGGTTTAACGCTTTCCGTTCGAGTCAAATTACGCAAACATGTTTAATACCAATATATCATTTTATATTCCTACATAAATGTAACACGTGTCTGTAAATGTATGTTTTACAAAACATGTTTTTTTTTATTGCGTACGAAAGCGAATATTTAAATAAAATTCACGAACATTTGTTTGGTGAAATCGTAGTTTTGGTGTTGCCGATGTAATTAGTAGCGGCTAGATTTACGTTTGGCTTCAATGATCTGCTCGAACAAACCGGCATCGTGATGTGAAATTAATTGCGACATTAATTGCTCCGGAAACATTCTATGGGTCTTGTTTACTCGCGTATAGCCCGGAAACACAAAATGAGAATCGCGACACGTGCGCGAGCGTTGATATCGGTCCATGCATCAGCACGTGTGCCACCGAGCGCGCATCTCTCTCTTACATTCTTTCAAATCTTTCTCTTTTCATTTTTGCACCTTGTATATATTTAATTTGCATGTAGATATATTTTTCAATTTATTTAGCCTAAGATCGCTCTTAATTAATTGAGTTAATTAAGTTAATTAAATTAATTCTTGAGTAGATTATTTTCTATTATTGCGATACTCTTAAGAGATTATTAAAAAATTACAATAAAGACATTATTTTTTGAAAAAAAAAAAAATTATACACGAGTAGAGCAAGAAAGAAAAGTCGTTTCTAATCTTTCTGAGTTAATTAAAACAGCGAGTCAACTGATGCGATTGCACATATATAATAATCAATTTTATTCGTGTGAACAATGGAAAATATAACAACGGAAAATTGGACGCGTACAAACAAAACGATTACAAATGATACATACATACGTCACTCTAAAGCAAATAAGAAATATATATACACAATGGCATCACACAATTGAAACATTATTCAATCGCTCTTACTTGTTCCTAATGTATTTCCATGATTGCAGCGTGCCTTTTCCGAAATGAGCATCTGCTCCTGGATCTGGCTGATGTCACTGTTTTTCTGAAAGACGAATTCGATGTATAAATTATAAATGAATATTTACAATAATTGAAAAGATATACCTTACGCTGTTTAACGCCACTGAATATATAAGTTTAATTTTAGGATCCTTGTTTTAATGTTCGATTTTATTTCACTCATCCCAATGTGTATGCATTTGAAATTTCCAATCTGGCAATAATAAATATGTAATATGTTTTCGAAAAAGTTATACGTTTTAAGCAAATATATTCAGTAATTAAAAATACAATCAAGAGAGATTATCTATGTATGTAAAGTGATTAAATCACGGTAAAACTAACTACGAATGTGGATTTATATTGTAGAGACAAACATATCGATTTATAAAGACAAAATTATCTTAAAGGAGATGTTGTCATTGATTGCGTCAAATATTGTTCATGACTTATTTGCGATTTGATTTCTATTTATTTTATGTACACACCGTTTCTGTTTATGTATCCTGTCATCTTATTCGTTTTATTGTAGTTTATCTAATTATATCTTCACATTTACTCACGTAATTAATAATATAAAAAAATGTTCTCTCTCTGAATTTTCATATTAACATATAATATATTTCTGTTCTCTGAAACGTATCAATTTTTCAACGTATTTGCCAACTTTTTTTTTTTTTTAACATTCAAACTAAAACTTGGGTAAATAAAAAGCACTGAAATAAAACGAGTTTATAAGCGCGGGTTTTAAATCGGAATATTATTTAGTAAGCAAACATTTTCGATATCCTTATTTAATTTGCGTGTCGCGCTTCTGTCACGCGTTGGAATGCGAAAACGAATACAGAAAATATTATCACTCTCGCTGAGCTTTTCACAAAAACGACAAAGCTAAATGTCTTTTGTGATTGTTAAAAACCCGATAAATCCGAATATCTCCCACTTCAAATTTTTTGTCTTTCCTTTTGTTGCCTCTTCCAGGTTTTTGGTTACAGAATTTGAAGAATTTCGACATTTGTTTGTTTGTTTGTTTGTTTTTTTTTCAAGCAGCCATAAAAAATATCCAACAGCACTGCTTTACAAATGATATTTGTACATCTTTTATCATTATTTTTATTAAATCTTTATTGCTGTATCACAATTTTAATACTTTTAACGCTTTCACATTTTTAACCTTTTTAAAGTTTATAACAAACTCATCTTGTGTATAATAGAATTATATATAGTTTGTTCTTCTTCTTCCTCTCTCTTCATTTTATAATTGCGCGTAAAGTGATCACCGATCATCAAAGAGCAAATTAATACGCGAAATAGCGTTAAATACATAAATTATACACAGTTTTAGATCATACTATCTGAAATCAAACATTTAATATAGGTATACATATTGCGCTTATAAATAATTTACACGTACAGTGGCTTATTTGGTTCAGACATTATTATTAATTATTATTATAATTAATATTATTATTGTTAAATCAAGCAAATTATTTAAATTGTTTTTAAATGCTCGCCTCGTCAGAAACGTCTGTGAAATCTTTCAAACGATTTTGTTTCCTTTGTTAAACAAACTTTTTCTCGTAGAACTTAGCGCACCTCTTTCTTGCGGTAGGTGCAACAAATTTCGCTTATTTTGTTTACTACATTCTCTCCGACATTCCTACTGCCATGTTGTTATATCGTCGGCTTATCTCATAAAATGTCAGTGCGATTATTCTAGGTCGCTTACTCGAAATAAACTTCGCGGATAATGCTGGCCGAGATTCCGGTGTGCATCTTCCTTCTTCCTTCTCCGTTTGAATTTATGCGAATTTACTCCGGCGACAATGGATGAGGTAGATATCTTCAGTACGAAATGTTAAAAAATGCATAAAAGTTTCGCGGGGATGTCTCGCGGACGTGATTCTTTATACTGCCGCCATAAGAACTGTATAATTTATTTACATCTTGTAAAGAAAAATAGCGCGCAGTGCTGAAGTCAAAAGTGAAATATAAAAACAAATATAAAAACCACTGTAGTAATAAACTCATTGTCATTCTAACGCAAAACATATTCGCGCTGTGCTTCACTTTTGAAATGTGTTTACCACAACATATTAATTTAAAAGTTTATTATTTATGTATTTTTTTTATAGAGGTTACCAACGTATACAAACTCTGCAAAACAAAAAATTTGCATTAAGTGCACTCGCCTTCTTTCTCTTTCCTTGTTTTTCCAGTAGATATATAATATTACAAAATGTACGTGTTTTTTTCAGATGCAATAATAATGCACGAAAAATACACGTTTCTTTGGTAAGAAATATACTTTCTCGCTTTTTCGCATACATATTGAAACTCTTTTTTTTTTAGATACTTTTTTCCTTTTTATTTCCGTTTCCTCATTCAAATACGCGTCAATTTGTTTCGCGAAATTTATTGTTAAAAAAAATTACTTGGAGTGTACACACACGATGTGTAAATACGTAAAATTATATATAAAAATATTATAAATATAAATATATATAAAGTGTGCATTCGAGCGCAGCAAATGTACTTGAAAGCGCGAATGCTGTCTCGGAAATAGAGAACTTTTTCTCTGTCTCTCTCTCTCTCTCTCTTGTTAGAAAGATACTTTTATATATTTCCGTGTAACTTACAACAAGCAGGCGGAAACAGATCCTCATATCTCAACACATGTGACTTATACGACGCAAACGAATGTATGTATATATATATATCATCGGAGGTAAACTGCGCTCTCGAGCCGAGCAAATGCACAGTTATTTCGCACGAAAGATTTAATCTCCCTATTGGAACTGGATCTCGCTTTAAGCTCAAACTTCTCTCTTCTGCCTGAGAAGCACACTTGTCAGTGCTCTGACGGGATTTAGAACACGACCGGCCATCGATATAACTACTGTGACTACTGACATTTACCAAAGTTCCGTGAGCCAAATATCGACGAAGTTTCCGCGACATTTATTTTTCGCAATTTGTTCGAATAGCTTCCGCTTCCACGTGTAATCCGTTGTCATTTGCATCGTCGTGAAATGAAATTTTATTTCATTTCAATAAGCGGATTACAAGATTGTAACTAAGATGACGCTCCAGAAGGACTCTACAAATTCACGTGGAAAAGAATTACGACAAAATTGCTCGAGACTGCTTTTGTTTTTGTGCGTGAATGTTTTTTTCCGGTCGAATTCCGATCCAATTTTTAAGTATACTCTGCAAAATATTCTTGCAATATCGATCATTTCAGAAAAATTATTGATTTGTGTTGTATTGATTGAACAAGATTTGCAAGAAATTCTTTATCTGATAATCTGATAAAATATTGTAAATATCAAACATATGTATAAATTTGTTACTGTGATATAAACCTAAATAAACTCAATTTTTTTCAAATCATTCTTCGTTATACCTTTATTTTTTTTTTTTTTACAGTCAAGTCACCGTTGAAACGTGTATGATCGATACGCGTTGCGCAAAAGTTTTTCTACCATATTACACGCGGTTGTATAATTTTCTTCAGTTACAATCTTTGAAAAGCACAGTTCGCAGAAACGTTTCCGACATATCGCGCGGAAAGTGCGGCTAATCCCCCGGAAAAAATTGTATCGATCAAAAGTACAGAGTGATAAAAAATTATTGAGTTTCTTAGAATTTTTACAGGTGCAAACAAACGAGAGAGCTCAAGTATCAAAGGTAATGAGATGTAAAACAAAACAACATACATAATTCTTTCTCATTAGATTCACAAGACGGCAGCAGAATTATATATTTATTTATACGTGCGTTAAAATTGATAGAGAAGACGCTCTGAGAGAGTTTTCTCTCAATCTCTGTGCGACAACGTCGAGTTCTTTCTGAAAACATGCACATGCACACGCGATGTCGCAATTCACCTACTTCGAAATCAGCGCACGGCTTTTCTTTCCTCAAAGAGGAAGTTTCGCCGCGCGTCATCGCGAAGAAGTGTCAAGGGGAGGAAAATCTCGTTGTTCGACGGAATCGAACAACTCCGCGCGAAATTTTCGCTGCTAAAAAGCACGAAAGTTTGTCGAGCACATGTGAAAGATATATTTTAAAGCGCTCGCGGCCGAACACGTTTGAGGAAAATTATCGGACGCCATTATCGAGCTTCATCTCACCGAGATAAAATTGCGTCGCAGTGTGTAACCACACAAAGAATTTCTCTCTCGGTGCTAACTAATTTTACGATTATCGTAGTACTACGCTCGGTTCAGATTATCATCACCAGCTACTATAATAATTATTATATTATAAAAAATAGATGCATAATTATTTTACTGCGCGATATACCCATTTTTTAGTACCAAATACTCACGTATCTCACGTCGCACACGGATGCGACGTTAATGTTGGTGTAATAATCTGTGCGCAGCTTCTCTGCGTAGACGCGAGTTTTTCGCAAAGCGCGTAGAGAAATCGTTTTACCGTCATTACGCAGTCACACGCGAAAAGCTCCGAATGAGCTGGGAAAAAGTTGAAATCGTGTTTATGTTAGAAGCTTTGCGGATTTCATTAAAAAGCGAATACACGGTAACGGATTTGACACGGCATCGTCAACGCGATCAGAAACATCACCTGGTGAAGTGAGAAATGAAAAGTTTCTCTGGTATTTTTCTCTTTTCTTTGCGCGAAGCGAAGTAAGTTTTTTCCGAGAAAAAACATGAAACGGAAGATAAAAAAATTGCAGATGCTGCGATTTAAGATCCAAGTTTCTTTGAATATTTTACGACTAAAATGGAAATATGTGGTCGGTGTCTTTTTTTTTGTTTTTTTTTTTAGTTCACAAATGTGTAGAGAAAAGTGCATAAAATATATATATAAAAAAATATATAAATAATCTCGTATTGAGTTGGTCAGAAAATCTTCGTACTTTTGTATTAAAATTTGTACTAAAAAAATACGAAAAGTCTTTCTGACTAATCCAACACAAATATCAAACCTCACAAAAATATATTGGCTATGTTGTTATATTATATAGTTCTCTCTAATAATATAATTAATACTCGAGTTTGGGGATAATAACGTTTAATAAATCTTCGTTGCGCGCGCGCGAGAGAGCAAAAAAACACATCGTGTCGCGCATATTTTCAGATTCTTCCGAACGGAAGAACGTGTTGCAACAGGCGGAGATGAAACGGAGTCGAAAATAGCGTGCTTATCACGCTACCAACGAACCACTTGAAGCTTTCTTTACGGGTGTTTGTTCTCGGGACGAGTCGCATAATGCCGCTTTATTCGCTCGAGGGGTAGATAACTGCGGCCGTAATCTTTCTCGATGATCGAGTGAATCTCACGGAGCTTTAGCAAGCACCAGCATCGTTATAAGAGTGTTTCTATTGATTCTCATACATCAAAGTGTATTCAATTAAAACGTATTAAACAATATAATTACATAATTTTTTCACTTAATTTGCTATTCTGTTTATGTAAAACATTTTTTATTGCTTTTTGTTAATTTTTTCAAATTTGTGTTTTAATTTTTTTTTTTTTGTATTATTGGAATTTCTGTCCATTTATTAAATAAATAATAAATAATGATAATAAATAAATAACAATAATGTTATGTATGTACTTACGTGTATTTCCATAGTGACTGACGTTTTTGAACCACGTTCGTCGCATGCGGTATTTTTGCTCGTTTGACCTCAGAACACCCCGCTCTGAAACACAATATTAACGCGTTATTAACCAATTGTCAATTTCCTGAAAAAAAAAAAAAAAGAATATCCAACGTCATGTGTTCTGTTTATAATTGATTGTCGTAGTTACTCTATTGTGTGTTACTCAAATTGCGCACAATAACTAACTTCAATCAATTAATCACATCAAATGGTTATTTTTCGCATTATTACTGGCTTAGAACATGAAACATTAATTGTTGCATAGTAAAGCATTTGTCGTAATAAGCTTACACAATGCGAAGCATCCATAATCAATTATCCTTCCGTTCACGGGGAAAGGGATACGCTTTGACGTGGTTTCGGTCTTCCGTACAATAAGCGCGAGGATTAATGTTACCATAAAGCACACAATGTTCAATACGCTGTAACCTCAAATTTCGATAATTTAATTTCGATCGAAGCGTTTCCCATTAAAAATAATTTGTCTAACTGACTAAATATTGCAAGAAAAAAATTCAATTAAGTTCAAAACTGTGAGAGAAAATTTGTGTGAAAAAAAAAAAAAACAAAAAAAGAACCAACTTTGATGCGAAAATTTTATTACACGAAAGTATGTATAGGTTTAAGGTTTGGTTTGTGGATGGACGATCGTCCGAAAGAGAAAGCTAATCGACGAAATCTTGAAGTAACGAACAAACGATAACATCATCAGGAATAGCGCCCTTCTGCGACGCGCCCTTGTTTGTCATTTAATTAGCTGTGTATTAGCAGATGCGGGCGAGCGACCTAACGTCTTTCTCTTCTCTTTCGTGATGTTGTTTATTATCCGAACACACCGATAATTATTGGTTCGATGAAAAAGACCGATCGGCGGCGAATGAAAGACGCAATATTCGCGCGAGATTCACAAAACTAGAATGGCTTATTGCTTTGCTCAGTTTTTACCTGAGTTGCGAACAGAATTTTTGACAGATGCGCGTAGATTTTGTTTTATTGATCGATAATCAATGTGTGCAAGCATATACATTAAAATAGAACGTATAACGATAGCGTTTTGATGATGATTATTGAGACTCTCGAGAGAAATGTTCGAGTGTATGCCAGACGCACTTGAAAAGTGTGTTCACAGCGAGACTTCTGACCGCGCCGGCGAGCAATGAAAATATTCCACGTGTTGAATAACTGGCGCTCACACAAGACCGATTAGATTAATATAGGCGCAATTTGCCGAGGTAGAATAAAGAATAAAATCAACATATGCGAACGGTCAAACAATTAAAAAGAAAGCCTGAAACAGCAGAGTCGAAGAGTCAATTATTATCGTCAATTATTACCGTCGGTCGAGAAGAATTATTACTGTCGCAGACATTATTTATACTCTTAGTTTTCTCCGATAATGCGGGGTTGGAAGTTGCGACATTTTTCCATATACACAAATTAACAAAATTAAAATACGCGTACACACTTATATTTGGAAATATGTTATATCACACTCTTTTTTTTGAAAATAGAAATAAATTTTGATTTTTTATAAATGTTGGTTGGTTGTAAATGTTGGTTTTCTTACATTTATTATTTCTCGTCGAAAGTATCTGACTTCGCATCTTTCAATTTTAACGGCACAAATATGCGATAAACGCAGAGTCAAAACTCTATGCGTTGCTTGGAAAAGATTTTCCAAATGTACCAAATTTCTGTGCATTTCTCATTGTTCCCCGTTGAATGGCGTAATTATAAATTTATAATAGAGCAATTTCGCGAGAATATGGAGAAACGGGAGGAAATAGCATTTGTAGACGCGAATGTAACATTTGTATTTAATTAAACGTTGCGCTCGGAGAGAGAAGCGAAGGAAAATGTATGGAATGCTCGTGTGTCTTTCCGAGCGTGTGTGCTTGTATATTTTGTCAATAAGAAAATACTCATGCGCTTGAATAAACATGATATGGATGTTGAGAAAGATAAATGGAGAGAGAAAGAGAGGGACTTCGTAGCATATAATACTTATGATGCTATTCATCGGTATTTCTCTGCGCTTGATTCAGCTTCGATTTGAAAGAGATCAGACATTGCACACAGGTTTGTACGTATATTCGCGAACTCGTCTCAATTTTATTGTCGTGATCCACTTCGTGCCGTTAAATACTCGGTATTTCGCTCGTTTTGCACTTCATTTAATTTGTGTGAAAATGTCACTTTCTGTCGTAGTAACCAGATTCTCTCTCTTTGCCGACAAAAAGACGAGAGAGCGCGCGACACAGTCATAAATCTTTCGTATAAACCTTTCATCCTCTTAGTCTTCTTATTATACGAAAATTTGGCGCGAGTCTTTCGCGCGCTTATGAATTGTCAGTATTTTTATAATTATAATATATATATTATTTTATATGTATTATACATATAACATTATTGTATATTTAAATAATAAAATATACACATGGAAAATAATCAGAAGAGTATAATATATTGCTAAATTTTTATTATTATTACGGCCGCCCGATATTAGTTATGAGCGCCGTTCATTTAGAAGAAAGAAGAGTGTTGCCCCGGATGACGATTTTGTTTGACAGATTTGGTTCGGGTTCGCGGTTTGGACGCGCGACGCTCGCGTTACTGAAATTATTGTACGTGTTTACCCTTTTGTTAATAAAGAATTCCGATAAAGTTCCCGCGTTTCTTTCGGAGACTTCGGTCACGTGACGGACGTAACATTATAAATGAAAGTATCAAGTCAAAGAAAGTATCCGTAAAAATACTCGAGAAAATGTAAAAACAGCTCGGCTCTCAGAAACAAATCATCTTGTATCGTTGTTTGCTTTTTTTTTGCGACTCACTGATTCGGACGTGACTGTGGGAAAACGGTATTGAGATAACATGAACAATAAAAAAAGTTTCTAAATTTATATCTGAAGTGAAGACGAAAAAGCACGTGCTGACAATTCGCTTGCCGCGTCGAAGCAATCGAAGATAATTCAAAATACAATCGCAATGTTTCAGAATTGTCAAGATGCATCTAATTGCATATAATATATTCTGCAACGTGTTCGATTCTATAACGAATTAAAAGAACCTATTCAAACTCGAGAACGGTGTCTGTGTCATTGCATCAATAATATATTTTTCAGAGATGTTTCATTCTCATAAAAAAAAAAAAAATCATTATTTGCTCGCGTATTTAATATTTGTACATTTCAAATGCGTCGTCGGAAAACATTCTCGAACGTTTGAAGAAGAATGGCGTCACTCACATTTGTATTCATTTGCGCGCAGCGTTAATTAATCCTGAGCTTTCGTATTCCCTTATGATGGTGTACCGTACACTGGTCTTTTGCGCGCAAGTATTGACGTGTGCGCTACACACGTCCATATGCACGTGCTGGAGCGTGAAACAAAACCGAACCTAATGAGCTTAGCAAGTCATGCAATTCCGTTTGAAACGTGACGTATATTTCGTTACATGTTTTAGCTTTTATGATTCTTCAATACAACCGTGACGTTATACACATTTCTTCAGATAACTAAGTTCTCAAGAGAACTATATATATATAGTGATATGTATATATATATATACATCTAAACTAGCGCGCGACCTGTGTGCCACAGAGTTCTAAAAGGTACACCGGCTAACTTCTGAGGTTAGCAACTTACTCACCCGGACTTTGATAGCGACTTTCTGTGTAAAACTGCTAATTTTATTTTCGTCCATTTGTCTGATTATCAAACGTTTTGTTCTTGCATTCCGCGCGAGACTTCGTCGTTTGTTAGAGACGTACCCATTCTCGTTTCTCGAAGAACCTAGAAAAGAATGCGTGACGCGAACGTTAAAAGTCCTCGTTTCAATTACTGTCGTGCACGAGAAAGAATGAGCGAGGAAAGTTAAAAATATCGTATTACAATACGCAACCGGATTATATATCATGGCACGCGAAAGAGCATAACAAGGCGCCGGGGTTGAAGACACCCACGAGATCGCTTTCATTTGTCTGGTGTCTGATGTATGTACGTACCCGGTGGCCTATTTCGCCTCCCTTGTCACGCGACGAAAACCTAGAAGTGTAGCCGCGGCTTCGCAAACTTTACTCATCGCAAATCTCATCCTATTCCTTTCCCCTTCTGTCGGGGATAAATGGATATTTATTTTATTCCGTGATTTCTCACGTGTTTCTTTCGCGCTGCTTGTGTTTTATATGGTGATAATAACAAGCTAGTTCCGAAGGATACTATCGGACGTGATCGACCAATATCCACAACAAGCTGTTTTTCCGCACTACTTGTCAGTATGACATCGGAATAATTATGATTTGTGCACACAATCCAATTTATATATACAGGGTGTCCCAGAATTGGTTTAACATCTCTCGTAGGCAGGTAGAAGGAATAAAACTGAGGTGAAAAGTCCTATACCATTTTGCTAGATTCGCAATAGTTACTGAGATTTTAATTAACAAAGATCCGCGAA